GGGAGCTTGAGACCTGTTAGTAAGGTTCCCTCCCATGCAAAAGCAGTATATATTAGTTGATAAGAGCAGTTAAGTATTGATTGAAAATATCCTTGGTTAACACGCAAAAGCAATATACATTATTAGTTTATAAGAGCAGCTATGTACTGATACAAAAAATGGAGTAACGGCAGTTGATTCTGTAGTGAATATTTTCTCCTGAATGATAGCCTTTGGCTAACATTTTCTATTGAATAATAACTACAGTAGCGCGATGCGAAGGCACGTTAAAAGGCATAAATCAATATATCATGATGCATGCTTTATAGAGGGTTATAGAAACCTAAAAAGCAAAGGATAGCAATAAAGAATAATTAGGTTCTGTCTTCTTTAAAAATTGTTAAATCAATATAACTAAGGCTTTTGCTAAATTTTTACCACATCTTGACATCATCTCTCTTCTAATATACCACAGTACAGATTATCCAAATGTGAATGTTGAAGATCTTGCAATTCTTCGAAACTAATATTTGTTGCACTTAGTAAAATGCTACCAAAATCCTGCAACACAGCTCTTGAAAGAGGGGAAAGAGGAGAAACAAAGTCCGCCTGATATTTGAAGTTAACCAGAAGTTGTAGCGTCAAAGCCCAAAGTGCCCTCAGAAATGTTTATGTGATACCCATTGAAGCAAACCATTATAACAGCAGGGTAATTAAAGCAAAGTCCATGTCCCATGGAATGAATTAAAAAGAACTAAAAGAAAGACACTTACCATGTCATCCTTCGCAAGGAATGCAGTTCCGATGAAGTATACGCAACAAATCAAAGCAGCAGTGACAAAGAGGCTGCATAAATATGATCTAGCTTTTGGATCTGGCATGAGTGAAACCTGAAAAGGCAACAAATTAACTATCAGTACCCTAGAGACAGAAAGGTATCATTTCCATTTAGAGTTAATAAGAAGGTATCGAATTGTAACATCATATACAATTTCTTCAGCTATAACAAAAGTTATCATTGTCAACCCTCCCAAGTAAACTTCAGAGAGTCCAAAAAACCACTCTGGCTCCAAAATTGTTAAGGCCAATAAAAAGTTTCTGAAATCCTCAAAGACAAAGGGGACCATCAAACAAGCATTCAGAAAATGACAATTTTACAATATACTTACAGATGTAGCAATACGTCCCACATTACCAAAGGCAGCATGGCCAATATCCGGGTAAGTCTCGAGCCCAGGTTGACTGTCCAAACAGGAATGCAGGAGAATCCCAGTGTAGTAAGAAACAACAGCAAAGATAAACAGAATTGAGAGCCCAACCCATCCACCTTCTTTGACAGCACAAGTAGTTGAAAGAATTCCAACACCACAAAGAACATTTATGCCTGTGAAAAGTAAATGTACATAATTTTTATGTGTCTTCATTCACCATGAGCACATTAGCAGCTAAATGCAAAGGCAAAATCAAAATTGTCAAGGCCTTCAAACGGTTCTAGATGTTTCATGATAGTTTCTGATTTGATATTTTATTTCATTTTGCAAGGAACTGCAAGGACGAACTTCCTTACATCAGTGAAAAGGGAAAAGGATCAAATGTATAGGTAGAATATATATCTACAGATAGAAGAAAAGGATTTAGAATATTATGCAAGCCATCAAAGTTCTCAGTGAGTGAATAGATTATAGCAAATTTAGGCTTTTCTTTTTAATTTACAGTAAAGCGAGCAAGTTCATATTCCTACATCTAGAAGTTGAATAAGGACAGATTACTGAAGTACGAATCATCAACATTCACGTCAACATACAAGTTAATTATGCAGTTCCTCTGATAAATGCTTCTTTAATATTCCTGCATTTCTATGTAGATTGATGGATGTTCAATCAAATAAACCTACCATTCACCACAGCTTGTCCATATGAACTCTGGCTAGGAAGAGAAACCTCATGTGAGACCTTGGATGATTTCTTGTCAGCAGTTGCTTTTCTTAAGGAAGGCCTCCCTTGAATGGAGGGCAGCAGAGAATGTGAACTACGCCTTTCTGGTGGCCGACGTGCATCTGCTACTGGTGGTAATAGAGGTTTTGCGAAGAAGGGAGTACTTCAGGAGTGTATCTTCTTGTTAATGAATAAGAGATACATGAGCTGCCTAAACATGATAACGTAGGCGTCCCCAGGAAGTTAAGACTTGGAGATGGTACACTACTGTATAAATCGATGGACTGCCTGATACAAGGATATGAGATACCAAGCATTATCAACCAGAGTTTGAACACAGTCCAAGTGAGATGACTAATGTCACCATTTCTCAAATATATAATCCAGTTATGCAAGTTTAAAACAAATTAACAAAGAACCATTGGAATTGATTCTAAATCTTAAAAGCTAAGAGCGAAATTATTTGCAGCTGGTAGAATTGCACATGAGGGAGTGATGGTTGTACTTTTGATCAAACCAGTATTTTTTATCCTCTCCAAAAACAACTGAAAACCGATGCAAATAAGAAACGCTGGTACATGATTGGAGGAGGAGAGTGGATCTCTGGCACTTATTTCAATCAAAATATCTAGCAGACTGTCTAAAAGTTGGTATAGTTCTGGCCAGATGTTATGACACACAAGTTATGGAAATTGGTTCAGTCTTCCAGAATCAGCCGTTCGATGAAAGGTAATATCCAAAATATGGTTTCTACCATTGATAAATGTAGCAAGGACAAATACAACTCCTTCACTTCCAAAGATGGTTCACAGGGATTAACCACCAATCCCTCATGACGAAGGAAAATCTTTTCAATAGAGGCAGTACTCAGCAATATAAGTGCATCCTACCAAGTTCCGCTAAGCTGAAGAAGGATCCAGGGAAGACATAAAATGCTCTGGCCTTTTGATAACATTACATAGCCTACCTTAAGCCCATAGCTATCCTTTACTGATGTTACTGGATCCATTCAAACTCATAAACTATTGATATTCATGGCTGAAACAGAATGAAAAAACTTGAAGAAGCTTCAAAATATGAATGATGAAAGCATTTCAATCCCATTTCTAAATATCTCTCCTAGCCAAAAATGAATAGGTAAAGCTAAATATCTGGTACCATATAAATATAACAGCATTCAAGAAACCAAGTGCTTCACTGCTAAATACAGAATCTGCACAACAAGAACAGAACAAACATAGAGAACACCATAGCTAGATGTAGAAAGAAACAAATATAGATATGTGCGATAAGATGATACTACCTGTAACTTTGAGGCCAAGAGGTGGTGATAGATTTGCTCTCCAGCCTTTCGTCCTCATGTTGGTCTCTTCTGTTATTTTTGCATACCTTTTTCGACGTGTCCCTTCTGATTGCATGACCTACATTGCACATCAGGTCTCCACCAGCAATATTGTTGCAGATGTGAAGTCTTTTTGCAATGTGGACATTGAGGAAATTTTCCTCTTCTTCCTTCATCTCTGCTAGACTCACCTTCTTTCTTGCTCTTCTTGTTCCATTGCTGTTTCTTTTCTTTGCCACCTTGTTGATTTTGAATTTTGTCTTTCACCTGAAAAGCACCTTCTACTGCTTCCTCCTTTCGGATAGCTCTTCTCTGCTCTTGTGCTTGTAATGCATTGATTAGTTCTGGCAAAGTGATTTGAGACAAATCCCTTGAATCTTCAAGGGAGGAAATCTTGGCCTCAAACCTTTCAGGTAGGCTCACCAAGACTTTCTCTATAACTCTGCTATCTGGTAATTGTTCTCCAATCAATCTGATTTTATTCACAACATCTAAGAGTTTGTCAGAGTACTCTTTGATGTTTTCTATGTCTTTCATCCTAAGGAGCTCAAACTCTCTCCTAAGGTTCAAAACCTGCATTTGTCTTGTTCTGTCATTGCCTTGAAAAGCCACTTTGAGAGTATCCCAAGCTTCCTTTGCAGTTTCACAAGTCATAATTTTTGTGAATACTGCATCAGAAACTACTGAATGAATGCACGCCATGGCTTTTGATCTCCTTTTGACTGCATCTCTATGGGCTCTCATTTCTGCAATAGTTGGATCTTCCGATAATTCAGGAATAGGATCTGTCTCTACCACATCCCAAAGATCATTAGCATCCAAATAGGACTTCATTTTGACAGCCCAGATTTGGTAGTTTTCACCAGTAAAATTTGGAGGATTGGACAAAAAGTTATTTCCTGGCATTTTGATGTTGAAGGCTCAAGTGTATAATTTTATAGTGAAAAGGGTTTCTCACCAAGTTCACTTACTCTCAAAGAAACAGGCCCTTAAGATTTAGACTCTTGATACCACTTTGTTGGTTATTTGAAGCATAAACAAAGATATCAAGACTATATTGAGGGCTGAAAAAGGAGCTTAATTTCTTCATTCATCAACACCCTATTTATAGTGCTTACAAAGAAACAAACTAAAATAATTTCAGCTAACAATTCTCTAGAAAATCTCAACAAAAACTACTTGATAACATGATCTTCTACGTAACAAATCTTAACTAAAATATTTGATCCTAACACTAAGACTTATTCTTCTACCAATTGAATGATTCTGATATCAAACTTAATCTAATAAAATCTGTAGGAAAAGTTGGCATATCTCAACAGCGTGCTATTCCTGAAATCAGTGGTTTTGTCAGAGTAGTTCATTCTAAACTTAATCAGCTTTTTGAATTATGATTAGTGAGATTGATGTAGGTTTAGAGCTCCCACTCGTTTCCTGTACTAGTTTTTTCCTTCAATTCCTGAATTCACTATTGTTCCAATCATGGAGATCAATTGCAGAAGAGCAAGGCAGTGGTTAAAAGAAAATGAGGCAAAGAGCTAAAGTGAAGAGAAAGCTTGCTCTGGGTTCCCTAGGGCCCCTAAACAGGATAGTTCATAATAGTGGCTCCAGAATAATGAGATAAAGTGGGGTGTGGACCTTATGATCGGTACTTTTCAATGTTTGAGATCTGCTAATGTAAAGAACAAGTAAAGATAAGAAGTGGAAAAGGAAAAATAGGTGATCACTCCCAGTCAAGAGGGAAAACAATGAAAAGATGCCCCACACTTGTCCCAATTCCATTGTCATTGTTCTATCTTTTTCTTCATCATACATAATTCTGCCTCAGTCAATCACTATTCACTAATAATATCTCAGTGAGTGAGTGAACGGGATGGATCAGCCTGCTTCTTCATCTAGCAGCTCTGCAACTGATCGCTTTTCTCGTGTCCTTGAGGAGGTGGAGCTGCGATTCAGGAAGGTTGAGAATTAATTTGAGGACTGAAAATTTGCTGCTTCCTTTTATAGGGAGCCACCAGACCAGGACATGATCAACACTTTCAGAGATCAAATCCAGGCCTTCCAAGTGGAATTTAGGTTGGTGACGGTGTTTCACAATATGGTGGACAAGTTGAGATCTGGTGTTTAGGGAAGCTAATGTCCCCCAATGTTTGAAATTGAAGCTTCCCTGTTCTTTAAAGTTGAAGCTGCAATCAACGAGACTGTAGAGGAACTTAATGAGTGCTCGCAAGATTAATAAGGTTTCCAAACTGGTCCTTGTGTTTACCAACTTGTTGAAAAAGATGGAGCTTAGAATCCATTTATTGAGGAGGTTCTGTGAGTCTGTGACTATTTGCAGAAGAAACACTTCCTGGAGGTTGAGTACAAATATGATTGTTGGAATGAGTTCCATCAGTGACTTGGGTTGCTCAATTCTATCAGAGAGAATCTTCAGATCCTATCAGAGAAAGCTGATTTGCCCCTTGAAGGAGAACTCAAAGTCTTCCTAGAGAAGATAAGTGCTCTCATTGATTTATTTGTCACTCTATCAAGGGCTAGGACTGGCAAACCTAATCTCAGCGCAGCTCTGAGGATTCATGTTGGAATTGTGGCTATACGTGTAGTGAATCTGCCTTGGTTGTGCTGTCTAAGGAGAACAAAAATGGATCAAAGTGTGGCAGAAGATATGTGTAATGCCTTTTCACATCTTCAATATAAGGTCAGCTATCAGCAGTGGAAGTATTTCTTTCTGATCTTCTCCATGAGGGACAGGTTGCTGAAGTTAAGTGGGAGCTGTTGTGCCTGATACAATCTTATAATTGACTTATGAGCAAAGGGCAAAAAGATTGCTGAACATGTCTTTCCAGATATTGCAGTCATGGTTAGGCGGGTAGGGTGTCTCAAGAACTCATTAAGTGAAGAAGGTGGACCTGATCTTTCATGTTTCAACTTGGTTCTGATGATTTATCTTCTCAGGACAGAGCTTTTCTTCATTGAACAACTGAGCCATAGTCGGATGAAAAGGAATTTCAACATTTTTTTTCAGGATACAACATATCTCAAGAAGTCTTTGCAAGATCAAGTTGAAGTCCTCCATTTGCACATGAGATCCTTAAGTAGCAAATTTGCAGGTCCACCAGAAGTGAACATGCAAAATTGGAAACAGCTATTCAAACACTTCGAAGACGTGGCTAAGGAGCTGGATTCATTTAAAAAGTCCTTCAATCCCACAATTCTTACCAGGAACGAGGCAAGGAGTGTGTTCAGATTGCTTCTGAGGATTTTGGTATTTAAGGGAGAAGTATATTTAATGGATCTCAAAAACAGTAATGAAGTTTTGATTCTTCCAGTGAAGGATCAAATTGGAACCCTCAGTTCCCTTGTAGCATCAATGACAATTATGCCTAGCCGCCTAGGAAACTCATCTTCGGAGACTTTGAGAAGGTCACAGACAATGAAACACCAATCTTGATGCATTTTGAATCAGTGGCCAGGCAGGTTTTATCTTTCTGTCATTCCTTTAATTCTGTCAAATTCACGGGATGCATGAAGAAGGAAATGTTCGAGTTTGATCCAGAAAATAAAGCAAATAGTTGATGAGATTGATGTGAAGTTTCCTCGTATCAAATTCCCTAAGATTAATGGACTAGGATTCGTTGATATTCTCTTGATAAAGCTACAAGAGTTGCTGAAAATTGACTCTGATTCAATTCTTTCTCAAAGAACACATTGAGGAAATCCTAGAGAATCTGCGATTCTTGAGATCTTTCCTCGGGGAGCAGGACTTCACACATCCAGAATGGCAAAATCTGGGAACAAGTCTAGTAGATGCAGCTTATAGGGTAAAATTCATCATTGACTCAACTCTGAGCTGCAATGGATCTGAAAGGCAAAATTTGTTACGGCTTTACCATGCCTCAGAAAATATTAGACATTTCAAGGAGCTGGTGGCTGACTTTCAAGGGGAGGCATTTGATGTGGAAGCCAATAAGTGCTAAGCAAGCTATGGGTCGTGAAATCTCATAGATGAGTACCTTTGAAATAAGTAAAGATGTGGTGGTCTCCTAAATGATTATCAACAAATCATAGTTGATCGACTCACCCGAGGATCATCACAGCTGGAAATAGTTTCAATTGTTGGAATGCCAAGAATTGGTGAGACAACCCTGGCCAATAAAGTGTATCATGATCCTGAAGTTGTGCATTACTTCCACATTCGTGCATGGTGTAATGTTTCACAAGTTATACACAAAAAGAGACTTGTTGCTTGAAGTTTTATGGCACATTAAAGAGCTTGCAGATAATATCTTGACAATGACCAATGAAGATTTGGAGTTAGTTCTCTTTAAACACTTGAAGAGAAATCTTTATTTATCATTTTGGATGATGTGTGGAGTATCAGGCCATGGAATGACTTGAAGATCTCATTTCTAGAAAACAGGAATGGAAGTAGAGTTCAAATAACAAGTCGTCTCCATGACATGGCATCAAAACTCACCCTTGAATGTAATCTTTGTCATCTTCATCCATTCTCTGGTGTTGAAAGCTAGGAGCTACTACAGAGGAAGATATATCCCAAACTAAGGAACTATGGGAATTTGGAAAGGATATTGCTAGAAAATGCGAAGGATTACCTCTTTCTGTTGTTGCAATAGCCAGTCTGCTTCAAGGAACACACACGAAACCAGAGTCGTGGAAGCAAATTGCAGAGAGTTTGAACTCAATCATACTAAATGATCCACAAACTCGGTGCATGGACATCTTAGAATTGAGTTACAATCACATGTCAGATTATCTGAAAGCATGCTTTCTTTATTTTGGAACATTTCAGGGGATAAAGAGGTTGGTGTTCGAAGACCAATAATGTTATGCGTGGCTGAAGGATGATACAGAAAAAGAAGTCAAAGATCTTAGAGGATCTTGCTGAAGATAACTTGATGGATCAGGTTGGTAGAAACTTAATAATGGTTTCAAAAAGAAGATCAAATGGTGGTGCCAAAGCATGTTGGATTCATGATATGGTACGTAATTTGTACCTGGTAAAAGCTAAAAAGGAGAACATTTTTAAGTTGATAACTTGTAATGATGAACCTTATGCTTCTTTTGATCTTAGTGATGATCTTGACAATTTTGATCCTTCAAATTCCATGACATACAAGGAACATCGACTATGCATTTCTACGAGTCGGCAATTCTTTGTTATGTCCAGGCCTTCTGGCCCATATGTTCGTTCTCTGCTGTACTTTGCCACCATTGATGCCTATCCAAGATGTCCCTATAACGTGTCATTCATTTCCAAAAACTTTAAACTTCTTAAAGTGTTGGATTTGGAATCAATCAATATGGGCAATTCCTTCGCAACTGGAATAGATTTGCTTGTTCATTTGCATTACTTAATTGTTGGTGGTGATATTGACTCTATTATCATCATTAGCCAATTTAAGGAATCTAGAGATTCTTCTTGTTAAGAGACTGAGAGGTAACAAGGTTATAGTACCAGATAGCATTTGGGGTATGAGTATGACAAGGATGAGACGTGCATGCAAAGAATATTGCCGCCTTCATCTTGCAAAGTACAATTTTTAATGGAAGTGACTTTCGTTTAAAGAACCTAGTCTCCCTCTCCATGCCATTTCTATTTTTTGGAAAACATGCTCAGGAAATTATAAGGAGGTTGCCCAACCTTCGAGAATTGAGTTGCATTTTCTCAAAATCTTGGGGTTACTCCTCAGTTTGCTATCTGTTTCCGAGATTTGGAAGACCTGACACAGTTGGAGTCACTCAAGATAGCAGAGCAGGATGGGACTGTTAAAGCAATTTCCCCTTGAGACTAAAGAAGTTGACACTAATAAATTTCTTCTTGCAGAGGGGTCATATTTCAACAATCGGTTGGCTAGAAAATCTTGAGGTTCTCAAGTTACTTTCTTCAACTTTTGAGGATACAAAATGGGAGATGATGGAAGGGGAGTTCCCACAGCTCAAATTCTTGGAAGTTAGACAGTCTGAACATTGTTGAATGGAATGCCACCTGTGATGACTTGCCTAATCTTCGGCATCTAGTCTTGAGAAAGTGCTAGTTTCTCAAGGAAGTTCCAATTGATTTCGTGAATATCCCAACATTGCAGCTAATTGAAGTGCAGGGCTCTGGAGATTCAATTGAAAAGGCAATCAGACGACTCAAGGAGGAGCAACTTGAATATGGAATTGAAATTTGAAGGTCATTGTCAATCATTAGATGAAAATTGCAGATCTTCATTGCCTTATGTTGATCTTTGCATGCTTCATATCGTATTGGCAAGTAAGTGGACTCGTCTTTGTTGATCATTTTACCTCATTTTTACAATTGATGATTCGTTATCAACTTTCGTAATTGGACACTGGCCAATATAAGGTCACTTGATAAATTTCAACTTCAAGCTGTAAACTTTCTGTTTTCTCCTTTTTGCACAAGTAGCACAATTCTGCTGATGTCTTAATTGCTGTTGTCCTTGTTTCACAGTGTGTTTTTGTAGCTGATGAACTGGTTCTTGATCAACTCTAAATTATTCGAAGGAATTGTTCTTGTTAATTTTCCTTTCATGGCTATTCTCATGGAAACATGTCCATAAATTATAGGCAGATTAAGACAGAAATTTCAGCAAGAGTGATCATGTGTAAAAATGGAAGCAAAAGCGGCATCCCACATGTAAAATGTCTAAAACCAGGAAAATGAGACGCCACTACACTTGCCCCTTACATAGTTTCCATTTCAAAAGCATCATTTTTATCTGGAACGATGTGGTACATTTGATTTATTGTTCTGCCACATTACCTCTCCCTTCTTGAAGGAGCTTTACATCAATGGTTGTATTCTAGTGAAGTACTATAATTAGATGAGTCAACTTTGTAGCCACAATAATAACAATGATGTAATCTTGATTTCTATTTAATTCGTCTTACCAGTTTTTGCAGTTATTAGCATTGCTGTATAGCTGGTCAAATCTGGGTGCAAAAGCACCAGTACTCTTCATGTACTCCAAGAACATGTGTATGTATCCTAAGAAATTGATGAAACTAATCATAACAGTGATTAACTAAAAACTTGTTGCTTTAACTTGACTGTAGTCCAGTGCTAAACTTAATATTCCAAAGGTTGATCAGTTGTTTCTTACAACTCACTGTCTCTATATCTGCGCGAATACACTTCAAATAAGGATAAATTCTTAAATTGTTATGAAAAAAAAAAGTTATTCTACAAGATGGGTTATTTTAAAGCTAATTCTAGAACTAGGATCTTCGCATTTATGAAATGCGAGTTCAAGGACTTCGCATTTGACAAATGCGAGGTTAGTGCATTCAGAAACAAAATTGATAAAGGTTTTTGGCAAAAAAAAAAAAAAAACAAAGCTCGCATTTGTAAAATGCGAGTTTTGTGAGCTATCTTCCCAAATAACCTGCGAATGTTCAAAACAAAGCAGCTCTAACACCCCAAAACCCTAACGCAATTTCGATTTGGGAACACCAAAACGAAGACGAAATTGAGGCCAATACCAAGAGTCAAACCGCTACACACATAGCATTTTATCATCAACTTTCAAACATTTGAGGAAGTTCCAGATTTCTTCCCAATTTTTTCCAATAGATGCAAAAACTCACTCAGTCTCCGGAAAAGTAGTCACGGGAAAGCTTGAAAACGTCGACGTGCTTGAGGTAGGTGTTGTTCATGATTTGCCGTCATAACTGTGTTTCTCTAATCTGTTATTGTACCTTCTGTTGTGTACTGGAAATGCATCTGCCTGCTGCATCACTAGGAATTGCATCTGCTGTTTCAACAGCAGAAAGCTAGAAAAAGGAAAATGACCGTCTAGAACCAGTGAAAGTTAGTGCAGACGAATAAGTAGTAGCTTTTTAAAATATTGCTTCAGACACCGGAGAAAAAACTAGTTCAAAAAATGAACTAGTAGTGCGGAAAAGTAAGCATAACAATGTTAGCATAACAGGTTCCTACTGTGATTACATCTCTTATGCGTGCCATGGATCATCATTCTCCTAATCTGCTCCCATCTTTTTCTATGGGTGAATCTCTCAATTTTCTGTATCCTATTCCAGACTTTAAGATTAATGCTCAAGTGTGCATCAAAGAGTCCTTTTTTCTTTCGTAAATAAGACTGGAAGTAGCGGCTTCAGATGACAAAAGGAAGGATTGAAACTAATGCGAGCTCGCATTTAACGCTTTTTCCACGTGAGCTCAGTTATAAATTTTTTTTTTTCCACGTGGGCACACATTTGCTAAATGCGAGTTTGGGCGACCTCACATTTACCAAATACGACACCCTTGGTCAGAATCCCACATCAAAATCACTCCTTTTGCAGAATTTTTTTGAAATTCTTCACAAAGTTAGAAATTTGTCTGTGGCTTTTATTGCCATTTGTATTGGTCCTGTGCCAAAAATTGTACTATATGCTTTTTATGCACTAAAAATCTACATTATGAATTGATGCTCAGTTTCTTATTGTTCATCTGTTCGTCTCACTCTGATTCATTGATCCTTTGATACCAAAAAATTCTTCACATATCTAATCATGCTTCCATCACTTTGAAGCATTTCGAAATGACATGAAAATTTTAACTAGAAAATTCATACGGCAAATTGTTTGTTTTTTATGGGTTTCGTCAGAAGAAAACAAGTAGTGGGATTATGCACCATAGATTCTCTATGATTCTAAACAAACATGTAACTAGAGAGCAAGGTAATTGAGTACCCGAGCTCAATTTGAGTTAAAAAAAAAAACTTGGGTTTGTGGTCAAGGTTGATTTTATTTTGCCTTACTCGATCAAATCGTGACCAATCAAGCTTAATTCGATTTGAATCAAGCTTAATTGAGGCTAATCAAGTTTAAGTAATATAAATTTATATTTTATATAAGTTTAAATTAAGGGACAAGATAGACATTTCACACTAATAAATAAAAATTAAAAAACCATATATAGTAAAACCTCTATAAATTAATACTCGATAAATTAATAACATCTACCAAATAATAATTTTTTGTAGATCCGAATTGGACAAACAATCTAAATTAATAATTTTGATAAAAACAATAAGATAATAATTTTTTAAAAAAATACTTTGTATAACCTTTAGTCCCATTCATATTATAAATTAATAATTCACTAAAATCATATATCATGTTTTCCTAAACTATGAGCCTATTGTTGTTATTTATTTTTAAATTTAAATTTATCTGAATCTCACCTCTAATTTTTCTTATTTAAAAATTCTAGACTTGAATTCTCATATTTCAATAAAATAAATCATGAAGTGCTTCCTTCCATGTAACAGGTTCCAAAGCTACTGTATGATCCCAACCTTCATGATTAGCAACTTGAACACATTAGTAAATTAAATTATACTTGCAAATGGAATGGTTTATGTTCCATAGACTTGTAGCCTCCTTTTATTGATTGAATAATTCATATTTTTATAAAATAAATAAAACTTTAGCTGATTAAATGACTATTTCTTTGAAATGTATGTACCCTGATAAATTAATAAATTATTAATAGATAATTAATACCTTTTTAAATTAATATAATTTGTGTAGTTCTAAGGTTATTACTTTATAGGGATTTTACTGTATCTGTAAAGCTCAATTGAACTTAATGAATTTTCTAAATTCACATATTAGACTCGAATTTGAGCTCATCAATGTGATTTGAACTCAATTTTGAACTCAATCAATGCAAGTTCGAGCTCAAATTTTGACTAAATAAGCTCTTGAACTATTTGATTGAACTCGATTTATTTGCACATTACTAGAACATGAGAGTTAGTAAATTCATGAATAAAAATCCATACACGTTGACCATGACTAGAGAAACTATTCAAGTGGGAAAATATTTCAGCTACCGAATTCACACACCCTGGAAAGACGGAGAGGAGATTGAGCTTTTATTATTATTATTACTATTTTTCCATTTTTCCATGGGAACAGAAAGAGGAAGTTGTGATGATAGTGCACTAATTAGACTAAGATTTGTCTCGAGCTGTAAAGGCTGCTTCTGGCGGTCAGGTGGGCTCTGACGAATCTTTTCTTTTTTTTGTCTAAATATATAATTTTAAACATTTTTGTCGAAACGATAAATTATTTGATATTGATAAGCTTTCAGCATTTGGACAACGGTCCAATGAGCTTTACGAAATGTACAGGGTTCGATTTCGTTCATTTGGGTTTTCTTGGTTTTGGCAGTGAGAGATTTGTCCTGCTCCGGCCATGGCGTAACGACGCCGGTTTGCTGTCCTTTTATTGATAAAACAGAAGTTAATATTATTAATAAATTAATTAAAAATTTGTCCAATACTATTTATTTGGCAAAGAAAACTACACTAATTACGGCCTGTTTGCTGTTGGTAAATTGCACTAATTACAGCATGTTTGCTGTTGGTTGAAGCATTCTTACTGATTTCTAACTCAACATGCTATTATAAACAAATGGAACTAATAATTTCCTAATTTTTTGTTTGTGAAATTTCACAAATAAGTCATTTCTAATTTTACATGCTACTATAAACAAATCGTTTCTTTAAATCAAATGGAAGTAAGAAATTTCCTAATTTTTATGAATCTCCATAAACATGTATCATAGATTGGCAATTATGATTTCTAATTTTATATGCTACCATAAACGTTTATTTCAAATGGAAGTAAGAAGTTTCCTAATTTTTATGAACCTCCATAAACATCTATCATATAGATTGTCTATCATGAATTGGCAACTATGATTTCTAATTTTACATGCTACTACTATAAACGTTTATTTCTATAAACTAAAGAACTACAAAATCCTTCCAAGTCTTTTAAACGTAGTAAACAGTATATATATTCTTCAAAAAAATGATATTATTGGCGTATGATCTATTGATCATTATACTTCATCAAAATGGCAGCTTCAACTTCAAATCCGCAGCAAATGTCCGTTTCAAATCAACGACGAAGTTGGTTGAAACGACTTTGCCAAATACAATATTTTCACGATGATAAGACATGCAGCATCCATCCTAATGTTAACAGGACGGTGTTTTGTATAACTTGTATGGATGGACCTATTTGTCCGAGCTGTGTCAATGATTCTCACCAACGTCATCAAGTCTTGCAAGTAAGTTAAATTTTAATTAATTTTTCACAATGTAAGGATTTATTTAGCTAAATTTAGGTGTTTATTTTAAATGATTATAGATTCTGATTTTAGAACGTTTTCCACTGCTTGTATTCAAATAATAGGTTTTTTAAATATTAAAAAAGCTAAAATTAATCTGTAATTAATTAAATGGCAACTTTTGGTGATTACGATTATTTTTTATAATTATTTACCTTTGATCAGATTTTATAAAATCTAGAGCAAACGAGAACAAGGCCAAAATAAATCAATCTAACTATATGTAAGCTTATTGTTTTTTTTCTGGAATTAGATTTTTTACAAGTTTCCTTATCTGGTCTTATCATTCTTCAGGTTCGTAAAGGATTTAACCAAGCGGAGCTAGCCCTAGTTCGCGACTTGAAAGATAAAGGAGGTGTTGATCTTGATTCTATAGAGCACTACAGGTATAGCGTGTACGATGCTATCCGCCTGCATGAGAAAACAAGAGCAATGCAACAAGATTGTCCAAAGTGTGAGCGATGTGGAGGTGAAGTAAGAACAGAAAGGTTTTGTTCCATTGCATGCAGGGACGGAGCCAGAAATTTATTTTTGGGGGGGCCGAAGTGTATTAAAAATTTTTTTTTGTGACGAAATAAATATATTTAATAAGTAAAATTTAGAATCAATAATTATAAAAATAATAAAAACATATAATTATATGGAGAATGATTAAAAATGGTAGCTCTGCAGGGAGGATCTGGGTATGTTCGAGGGGTACGATATCAGAATGTGAGAGTAGATGACGTTTCAAATCCCATTATCATTGACCAATTCTACTGTGATTCGCCGACGCCTTGCCAGAACCAGGTATGATTCACCCTCTAGCTTCATGGTTTTCCAGAATAGCTGGTTAATTGGGAACCAGACGGACTTTGTATTTTCTGCTCTCTTTGGTGAATAA